AAAGAATATAATCTTGTAACCATAGAATTATTTTCTCTCTCTCTCTTGCTCTTGTTTTGGAAAACGGCGATTAACATCAACTACATCAATCTCAGAAACAAAACTATCATCGAGAATAAAACCAAAAATGTGAAACAAGTACTGGTTTTATAGTTATTTTTTGTTACTTTCTCAGCTTAAGATAACACGATTCCTCAACCATGTTTGCAAATGACACTGTTTTAATATAATCCAAGTTGTTATTATACCTTTAGTAAAGTTGTGAGCACTTATTTTGATATAAATTGTTGTAAATCCTAATGTAAATCCTTATTGAATTGAACTTGGGGCTGTTTATAATACTTCGTTTTGTGACTTTGAATAATATTATATAGTCGATACAAGTAGGTATTTAGGGATAAGAATTTCTCACAAGAATGAGACGTACAAGGTACAAAATACGAAGATGCACCAGAAAGATATACTACAAGGAGTGATAACTTGATTAACAAGGAAAATGTTACAATGTTAGACAAAGCTCTGAATCCTTTAAAAACGTACACATATTATTTTAAATAGTTTAAAATGTTCTTTATTGGTATATTAATTTTTTATCAACTGTTAAAAAATATTTTATCAGGGTTAATGATAATATATGTTTGTGCCTGAAACTTCTCTGACGTTATTACGAACTTTTATAAAAATCGAACGTTTCATTGCATAAGAAAGTCGAGAGATGGCAGCCAAGTCGTCATATAATGTAAATAAAATAAATATTTCAACAAAGTTGTAGATATTTATCAGACGTTTAATATAACTGAAGTACATTTTCTTCATAAATATTAACAAGTTGAAAAATATTGAAAATCATAATTTTATGCACTATCCCTAGTTGGTATGATAATGAACTCCTAAAAAATACAGAATATGGTTGATAATTTTCAGAAAATTAAAATAATTTTATGAAAAATGTGATTTTGATTTTATGTAGCAACAACTTTCACTTCCTTATTTCAATATTTATGTCCTGTAAACAAACAAGTTAAATTCCTTTGGAACTTAAATGCGAAAATGCTAATTCTTGTTTGGACATCATCTGCTTATTTTTTTTATATATATTTAGGTGTTTTATGCATCTAAAAATAAGTATTTATCTTTCCTTTCTTACCATTCACAGAGCAAGCTCAATTTGTAGTATAACCTCTTCTTCAAACAGCTCAGATTTTCTGTTCTGTTTCTGTACTACAACTACTATCGAACTTGATTTAAGTGTAAAATTTTAATAACGAATGGCTTTATATCCAAAACTATTTTACTAACGTTACTTATTTTAAAATTTAAATAAAAAAACATGTTTGTTAACAGATTACAAGAAGTTGAAAATATCTTGAGGCTCGGAGGTGCTTCAGTTCGACCAAGGAAATGATTTTGTTGTAACC